ATTCATCCAGCTTCTTGAGGCATAAAAGAGTTATGACAGTGAAAAGATGGATAAGAAAATTGTATCACTTTGTCTACGTTCATCTGATTTGTTACTCCAAGGAGCTGGGAAGCTTGAGGAGGCAAGAGTACCTCCAGAGGAAAGACCATCTCACTTGTGTGTTGTGTTAGACTGGAGAAAGCTCTCATAACTTTTTCAAGCAGAGGAAATAACACATTCTTCACTGAAATCCTTGGTAGATAGAACTCTGAAATGTGGCACAGAATATCAAGTGGACTGTAGGCCAAAGAATGTTGATTTTAAATCCTTAGCAAGCTTCTTTGAAATCATTTTTAGTGCACTCATGAACAAGCAAGAACAACCGATTGCAAATGGACGAAAATTTACAGTACTCTTACCTGAAATTGGATTTCATTATGGCAGTATTTGTAACAAGGCTGGAAACTCAACAGCCGCTTGGGCTGTTTTTGATAAATTGTTTAAAATTTGGGGAAATGAAGACCATTGCAAAAATGGGTATTTTAAACTACAAATATCTTCACTAGTTTGTTATTGTGTGTGGTTAGTTTGCAAGGCAGATATTTTGTTGACCTATACTACAAAATCTTCAACTCAAGAATCAGCAGATGTTATTCGAAATTAGTAGCCGGTTAATCTCTAAGGCGTTGAAGTGTAGCAGATTACCTTCACCAATGTTAAATCTACTTTAAGACTCCCTGGAGTAATTCAGAATTCATTTACAAAACGAAAATAACAAATAAAGTAAGGAAAAATCACCCAATCTTTCACTGAAGACTCTCCCAGGAACAGTTCAAGTGCTGCAGTCTTACATCTCAGTCTTATCTTTGCAGTGTGAGCGGCTTAATTACGAGCTGCTTTAAGCCAAACGTGATGACATGGTGGCACAGCTGAGATAACAGGTTCTAAAGATCACAGAACGGCAACTGAGAGTGGTTAGTTTTGTTTTTTCTTCATATTAAGATCAGTGGAAGACTGAAAAAGATGCAAAACTTACAATCAGGGATTCAAGGTCAGTACTGTCACAAATTAACTACAGTGTAGTTTAAGGAAAGGATATACTACTGTAGATGTTGCGGTTCAATTTTTTCCCTGGTTTAAATTTTGTTTTGAGGAATGTTAATGGATGATAACGAGTGAGAACTAAACGGAAATAAAATTTAAACCAAGAATAAAATTGAACCAAAACAAATACATTGTAGTTTGATTTACAACATTGATTTCGGATTTTCGGGGGAAGCGGTTGGGGGGATAGAGATGTCTACGATGCAAAAAGGGTGCCATTTCATGGAAATGTCTCAACACTTTTGTCCGTCATTGTCTGAATGTAAAATGTTGTTACTGCACAGATGTTGAGCATTGTGTGACAATGATATTATTAACTCAAATTCAGTAAAGCGGAGTCATGTTTTAGTTTAAATTATTGCTGGTGGAGTGACATTGACTTAATGACGTCCAAATTATAGGTCCAATACGAGTTACCTGATGACGTAACAAAAGGGCTACGATTGTCAGAATTGACGGCGATATGCTTTTTAAGGGAAAAATTAACACTAAAACTCGCGCGTATGTACGATTTTTCGTAAAATTCAAGGGTATGTGTACTAAAAAATTTAGATGAAGTGAATATTTCAGGTTCTTCACTTTATCGGATTGTACAAGCAGAAAAAACTAACGGGCAGAGTAAAGATCGATCAGCAGGAAGAAAGACACTGGGCGGCCACGGAAATTGATATTCAGTGTTTTATCTTTGGAATTGGCTGCTTTATTAAAATATAAAAGAAGTTTCCAAATTGCTAGAAAAGGACAGTGGTGAGCACTACCCAAAAAGAGTCCTGCGGCTACACAGGGGTACTTAAACTCTCGGGTTGAAGTCACCGGAAGTGAGTTTGTTCACTCGTAGCCCTAGCACCTCCGGCTTTACGGAATCTCAAAGTTTCTCGACCGATTTATGCGCCCTGATACGGTCACTGTGAATTCTGGCAGAAATACGTAAATCTGATTCCGCTTGGCTGATTTAGCGTTAAAAATGGCGGCGTCGGTTTAGTTAGATCTTGTTAGTTGGCCGATTCTGAGCAAGATAAATCCATAAAGTCAGATCTAATAAGACATAACCGGAAAAAAGGGATAAAAGCTGGACTTTAAGCTAGCAAGGTAGGAAAATTAGGGTTGTTTGTCACACTTTAAAGTTAACAAATAACCCTTCGCAATTTGCATCTGAGCAGGCATTAGTTGGATGATCGATTGCTCCCACTACAGTCATAAATACTCATTGATTACCTCTTCGACTGCTTACAAGCCTTATTCTTTGAGGTAAATGTAGCACAGAACACCAAATAACGGTGCTACTTTACGCCAAGAAATACGTAAGAAATTCTGGATATTAACTTCCGTTCTTGTATAGATTCAAGTAGGGTTCCTCAAGTTATATTTGCATAAGGCATTTACAACGTTAAGGTGTGGGATTCAGGTAGTTTCATTTCAAACTTGAAGTTTGAGTTGTTTCTAGACAAAGATAAGTCGCTTGGACGCAACCTGTGGTAGTTTTAACACTATCGTGAAAGGGATAACCATGCGAGGCCCACCAGGCCATGCTCCGCAATGCAGAACTTGCCTGTCTTATCTGCCACTTCAGCGTTTGTAAAAGTTTTAGCGTCTACTACTTCCACGACGGTTGAAGTTGGTTGATTCCTAACACATTACTTATTTTACATCTAATACTTGTTGATTCAGTTATAGACAATGGCTTTGGCCGCTTCGTTTTGTTCGTTAATCCTTAGTCATTATTTATATACGGTTGTTGTATACAGGCATATAAATGTGTGTGCATTAGTCCGAGTAAATATAAACCAATAACTAGTTTTAAAGGCTTTCATTGGTCAACTCTCTGGTAACTGGCTGTCATTCAATATATCAGGCATTTATTCGATTGCTACAAGTCATGCTTCCATTCATGGTGCTTCATTTGAAAGAAAAATAAAAGAAATCAACAGTTAATCGGTTCCCCAATCCGTCGTGCGTAAAGCTCAATTTTCTTAAGTCATATCCAAAATGAGTTTTTTAGCTGCAATTACTTCGTTGTCAGTTGTTACTTATATAAAAGCCTAGGACCTGTAATGCGACACCAGCTCGTGCATTTGTTTCTAATTTGGTAACTCTTGCCTTTCCTTTTTCTGTACATTTTTGCGGCTTTACGTGTTGCCTTGGTAAAAGGAAAGACCGCAGATTACAAAATGACATCCGTAGAATGATTCGGAAGGTTGAAATGGTACCCTACCGGTTTTGATACACATTAATTTCGTATAACAGGTTCGCGGAAACGGTTACTTAGTTTCCGCCTGATACGCCTATGTAGACTTCTTTGCACAGTGTGTTGATTTGCAAAAACGCATGCAAAACGTATGGTACTCTAAATACTCACGGAATCAATGAACGTTTTTCATTCAATGATTTACTTTTGTTGTAGTTCCGGCATGGTACCATGAGGAGGCAGCGTGTCTGAGTAGTCAGCTCGTTGGACTCGCAATCCAGGGATTCCAGCACTGACAACAGGTTGGGTGTGTTTCTCGTTCATCCTGAGTTGAAATCTTCTGCCAGGCTTGAAAATATAAAACTGGTTACCTTCTGCCAGCTCCTGTTAGGTTATATTTGTGTTGTTTGCTTGAAATTATTTGAGAGCAGATATGAATTTTTTTCCATGTTCCCATTTTTAGAATAACACCACAATTATGTAAGCCACACACTACCCACAATCCCTCGATTCGATCAGACAATTGTAAATTATTTTAAATTACAGAAACTTTCAATAAAATTAAAAATAATACAGATAATACAGTTTCTTTTGATAACAGTTGTGGAAGCAGGATGTTAGGGTGTTAGGTTCATGTTAGTAAAAACCGTATGTCTTACAGAAGAATAGCTTGGATAATATTAATAGTAAGAAGTTAGTTTCTCTCTCAATTTTTCACATTTTCAGAGACAACTTAGCAGTACATCACGGAGAATCAGCATTTTCCTTCACCACTGAGCCATGGCTGCATCTTCCGGCCAACTCCAAAGCGTGAAAGAAACATGGAACGTCAACAGTCCGACTTCTCACGAGGTTTCCTGTTTTCACTTGTTATGTAAAAAGCCTTAATCCATCCAAAGCCTTGACTGAAGACACCAACCTTCAAAAGAAAGGGGCAGATTGATGGGGTACAAAAACAAGACAATAGCGACAATTATACGAAGTATCTTTCTTCGGTGAATTTGCTGATCATTGAAGGTTTCCTGGATTGAAACAAGAAACTGTTCCAAGCTTTTTACGCACAGAGCCACTGAGTTTTACGCACACAGGCACAGAGTTTGTTCGTTTGTTTTAAAACGCATATCCGTTTAATTATTTTCTTACTTTCAACATGAATTAAATAAAGGAAGCATGCATTATACCTTTGTTGTAATGCTTCACTTGATTTGTAAGCTTTCATTTTCAGCAAAACTTAGTATGCTAATTTGTGGCAAATTTTTCTCCCAAAATTATTTCAGGGTTATAGAAATAACCCATAGTTTTTGCTGGATCTTTACTTTGGCAAAATATTGCTCTGGATGTTTATGTGTGATCTTAATTTAAGACAAAGAACAGTTCTGCTATGCGGCCCTTCCTCTTGGATAGTGAAAGGCTGACAAGACAAGTAGACGTTGTTTGCGAAACAGAATTTACCACAGCAATTTAAAAACAAAATATGCAGTTCTAAATTATGCCTTTTGAAGCGATTAAAACAGGAAATTAACACGTGATTTGTGTAGTAACTTTTACTGTCCGTTTGTTTATTTCTGAAGACAATTTGAAGCCTTTTGAAGTACAACTCGACGCTTAAAACTCACCAAGGCCGCTTTTTTATGGGTCTCCTGACAGTAAACAATAACAAACTCTCCAGCATTTTCAAGTGGCTTGTCTTTCTCATTACTTTCATTCTTTCCTCCAGACTAGCTCTTCTAAAATGGTAGATGAAACCATTCCACAGAAAGCAACTGGACAGAGTGCGTCATCTGATACCGGCAGATCCTTGAACGTTACTCTTCTTGGTGATGAGTGGGGTTCATCTGCTGGTGGGTTGTCAACCATAAACAGAGAGCTTGCTATTCACCTTTCACAACAGCCAGGAGTAAATGTATCTCTATTGTGTCCTGAAAAAGCTTGCAGCACTGAAGAAATAAGAGAAGCAGATGGCTATGGAATCACCATTGTTCAGGCGAAAGAACGAGCGGCATATGATCGTCTTGATTGGTTGAGCATCCCACCCCCGGACCACTTCATGGACATCGTTGTTGGCCATGGTGTTAAACTGGGTCGGCAAGTACAGTTCATCAGAGAATCTGCTCAATTTCCAAATTGTAAGTGGGTACAAGTGGTTCACACTGCTCCAGAGGACCTTAGCAGATACAAATGCTACACTGACCCCATTTCAAAAGGTGAAACAAAACACGAATCAGAAGTTGAACTTTGCAAACTTGCTGATCTTGTTGTACCTGTGGGGCCCAGACTGAAAGAAGCATACTCTTCATATTTGCAGCGATGTAAGACAGATCAAGACGTTTTGTCCATTACTCCAGGTCTTTTTCAAAGGGAGTTTGGGGATTTAGTGGCAAAACAAGATCCTAATGAGGATGGCGAATTCAGAGTGTTGTTATTTGGTCGTGGGGATGATGAGGACTTTGAACTCAAAGGATACAACATTGCTGCCAAGGCATTTACTGATAAACGGCTAAAAAACAAACCTTACCATCTAATCTTTGTGGGAGCACCTGAAGGAAAACAAGAAGAAGTCAGAGGAAAACTTCTTCAACGTGGTATTGCCGAAGCGCAGTTAACTGTGAGAAAATTTATACAAAGTAGAGAGAAACTGAAAGATTTGTTGTGTGAAGCTGACCTTGCCATTATGCCATCAAAATCAGAGGGATTTGGTCTTGTCGCACTCGAGGCTTTGTCTGCAGGCCTACCCATTCTTGTTGCTGGTAAGTCGGGAATTGCCAAAGCATTAGAGAATGTGCCTCATGGTCATACATGCATCGTTTATTCAGATGATCCTGTAAAATGGGCAAAAACAATTGAAGGTGTTCGTGTTAGGCATCGAATGCGACTCGAAGAGGTTAAAACATTAAAATCAAGTTACGGAAAAATGTACAGTTGGAAGGAACAATGCAAAGCCCTTGTGGAGAGAATGTGGAAAATGGTCTATGGTAAGAGTTGCTGCTTTGAAACTCATGCATAAAACAATGAATATGATGAACACTATTTTCTACATGTTATTTTGACTTTTGCCTGTGTGTTCCAAACATTATTGTGATCGGCCAGATAGTTACAATCATCTTTACATGTTCATGGTTTTCTTTTCTCGACACTCATTAATAAAACCTAGTGTTTTTGTATTTTGGTAATTTGGTATATTAGTAGTGTTGATGTAACTTGGTATTTCATAGGGCCATAAACTGTAAGTTTAAAAAGTTATGTGTGTTACAGGTCAAATTTGTTCTCTGGTTAAATATTTTTAACCTAGGTTGATTCTTGATTCTCTTTGTCTATTAGGGCTAGAAGACAAAGGAAATTGAGAATCAACCTTAAGATTAAATAAAAATTAACCTGGGATCGAATTTGAACTGTAACACATACGTGAATGTTCTATCATGAAAAATATGGCTGAAGTAATTCAAATTAGGCAGTCCAAATTAACGGGGCAATGATATGCAATCCAAAAGCACTTGCTATTCCAGAACATTTAGTGAATCTTTTGTAGTTAACAGAATTCTTTAAAACAACTCTATTAACTTTCTCTTCAGCAGAAAGGGGTTTTCATCTTTTTTCTCTCACAATGACAGTATGTTTATAACCAACCAACAGGGTCTTCCGAAAATGACAACAAGCCCAGAGATGAAGAGCCACTGGTTGAAGAAACTTCCCGTGCTGAAAAGAGAGCTCATTTTGCAGCAGGAAGTCAAACTAAAAGTAGCTGTAAGCATATTCCAGGTACGGAAAAACATTATTTGCTTTCTTTTGCTTCTGGCCTCTGTTATGAGCATAGAGTGGGGTGAGAGGCCCACTTAAAAGTGTTTACCATTTAATTTGTAGCAGGGAAAAACATACTGCGTACTGAACTGAGCTGAACTGAAAAACGTTATTTATACGGGTCACATCTTCCAGCTTAGTAACCGGGGAAACTCGTGCTACCCTGGATACTGACGTACTGTAATGTTACGGTAAATCCTCTATTCTTGGTTTTCACCCATGTGACCCAGCGCTGGACAACAGTTGCCATCCGCCATGTTGGTGTCCCTCAAACGTAATCAAAACCAGCTCGAACAGATGTAGATATGGTTGTTTGCATCGTTGTTGGTTGCTGGAGGAAAAGTGAGAAGAAAAACACCCAACCATTTTTTCGTATTCCATCATTTGTCAAGAACCAAGGAGAAGAATTCGAGGAAACCACTACAGAGAGGAGAAATCTCTGGATTTCGGCCGTAAGTCGAGACGATGACCGGGAGACATGGTCTTGGCGGATAATGAAGGATTTGATCGTCGCACACAGAGTTGATACAAAGTCATTTCGATACAAGTTTATTCAGTTGTTTTGTAAATAGTTTCACGAACATGGCGTAAAGAACAAGCAATATTCACCCAAAATGTTTCCCCCTTTCACGCACATACTATACTTGCCATGCTTGCGGTGACCGAAATTTTTGTGCAATTTCAATGTTTGAGCTCGTATCAAAACGACCGGTTTCCGCGGAGAGTGTTAGCTTAAAGCAAGCCAAGCTGGTCATTCCAGCCTTTACAAAAGGGAAGTCACATTTGCATCCAGTTGAGAAAAAACCAGAGGGGTAGCAAGTGTTCAAATCCATGTGGAGAGGACTAAGGGGATGCTGTGGCACAGGTATACCATTTTAGAGGGAACAATTCCAACAGATTTTCTTGCTTCAAACCGAAATGGATCCCCTGGTACACAGTTCCTGGTGATTAATCGTATTGTGAGGGCTTGCTCTGCACTTGTCAATTTATTCCCAGCAAATAGTTGTCCTTTTTCAGTTGCTTTTAACTAGATCTGTTGTATTAAGTCAGAAAATATCAGAAGGGTTTTGTTTTTTTTACACTAGATATTAGGTTCATATTATTTTCTTTGGCCTAAAATTTTGTCTTCAAATCGCTATCCCACCTCTAATTTCCAATGACGGCCTCAGTGTTAGGAGAATGGATATTTTCTGGATTTTTCATTTCCAGTTGCATGCTTTTCTTGTAAGGAAAGTAGGATTTTCTAGTCTTGGGCTGAAGGGTTTTCGTTGGAAAGCCCTCACTATGACTTTGTTGCTCAGTCAATTCCCCAATTTGATCAAAACAAATTGTTTCTTCCCGAGTCTTGTGATATATGATGGTGATTCTACTTTCCCGGGAAAATACCAAGGAGGGCAAGAAAAAGTTGAAGTCATTTAAGAAGTTAGTCGTCGAGAGAACGCATGTGCCCAGCTACAGCTAAACAACTGTTTCCATTCGAAAAGATGGCTTGAAGCTCTTTTAGCCTGTGTACAACCGCCCTCTCGTCGCAAACAAATTAGACTGCTCGCATCATCAAATCAAATTGACTGGGACTGGGACTCTGCGACATATGTAACATATTCTACAGACTACTATCAACGTCTTACTTTAGAAAGCTGGTTTACTAACTTAGAACAAACGCCACTGAATCGTAGCCAACAGTTACCAGCGCTGTACAAACGACTTATTGACGAGATCAAGCAAAACTAACTACGAGAGAACAACTGGAGAACTGACAATTTGACTAACAATAGACGACTGTTTAACTGTGACAATAGACGGATCGAAACGCACCAATTACTGATTACGAGTCTTCATAGCCAATAACATCACGGCTTAACTGACAGACGACCAATAACAACGCGACGTAATTGACCAGTCAGATCAATAACCAGAGTATAATACCATCAACTGACGTGATACAACTCACTTTGACTCTGAAGATGACTACCGCACAGGTTGTCGAAACGTCAGTCACTGTCAACAACAACAGTCCTATTCAGGACTACGTTCACCCGGACGATTAAACTCAACCTACTTTTGAAATGACTCCTGGGTTCAAACCTTTCACTGCAAATAGTATTGTTGGCTTTGAATTGTGTTCTATGAAATTAGAAGTTGGCTAATGTCTGGAAGATTTGACATACTCCTCATGACAGAGACAAAAATAGATGCTACCTTTAGCAATAGTCAGTTTAATGTGGAAGGATTTCGCATGTATCGTGTCAATAGAAATGCTCATGGGGGTGGGCTGATGATCTTCATAAGGAATGACATCTGCTTTCATCATGTCATTACACGTTTCAATAAAGACATGTCAAGTTTTCACACCGAATCCATGTTATTGAAAGTCAAAATAAATAAATCTTGGTTTGCTATCGTCGGCATCTACAGACATCCTAATATCCCAAAAGCCAGTGGAAACTTGAATTTAGTGCTATTTTTGAAGCTGCAACAACGATTTCAAATGACAGTATCTTCTTGGTTGACTTCAACTATGATGTGATGTAACCAAACAGGCCTCGGACCATGGATGGACGGGATTTGTGTGATTTATTGAGAAAAGAATACTATCATCGGGCGTGGTAGATGTCTCAATCAGTGATCACTCCCTCGTATACACAATTTTAAAACTCTCCGCACCCAGATTTCGATCTCGGAAAAATTTGCGTGAGAAGATTTAAAGTTTGACAGCGATGCTTTCCTACAAGATTTGCATAATGCTTCTTTCAATGTAACGGAATTTCTCCATGATGTAAACGATAAATTCTTTGCATTTGAATCGCTGTATTTAGATATTATGGGCACGCACCTCTAAAGCAATTCCATGTGAGAGGTAATCAAGTATCGTTCATGAATGAACAATGGCGCAAAGCCTTTCGGCATAGAAACAAGCTGTGGACAAAGTTCACTGATGATCGCACTGATGCTTATTACGCCCTCAACAAAGAAAAAAAGGAATAAATGTACTTTGCTGAGACGAAAGGCAGTCAAGGCGTATTTTCTCAATAAATCCGAAACAGCAAACTTAAATGATTTTTGGAATACTTATCGTCCGTTTCTTCACCCAAAGATAACCTAGAGCTTTTGAATAAACGCATTTTGAGATTTGTATTTAATGATGTATATTCCAGTTATGACGAGTTGCTAAAGAAGGCTAAGAAAACATCTTTGTACAGTTGAAGAAATCACAAAATGCTTATTGTAATGTTTAAAAGCTTTTTTGTCTCTGTGTATCCTAATTGTCTAAGAAACTGTTCTCTCCTCGCAGCTCCAAGTATTTTTTTTTAAGAGGGAATAATATACTAAGCTTAACCGAACCTAGGACAACCACCTATGGACTCGGGTCCATCAAGTACGAAGCTACAAAGCTCTGGAACTCACTTACAGACGACATGAGACTGACAATGTCAATCGAAGACTTTAAAAAGTCCTTAATGACCGAGTGCATGGATTTCGCAAAGTGAAAATCAGTATTTTGGCATCTGAAAGGGTATCAAGTAATGGGGGCTTTCCACCATAAACCAAAGCATTAGCCATTTAGTTAGCCAAGTTCCTTGAAGTGGAAACCACTTTCTTTTTTCCCCAAATGTAGTCAAAAGGAAAGAAAGATAACCCTGGAACATAAAGCAAAGATCGTGCAGGCGACGCCTTTGCCTGCCTTTGAACAACTGGATTGGCTTTGCTTTCCGCCGAAAGATTTGCAAATCGACATTATCGTAAGTCATGGAGTTAAACTCGGTAAACAAGCACAAGCTCATTGAGGACCGTAAAACGTTCAAATGGGTTCAAATGGTACATACAGACTCTGAGGAACTTGGGATGTTTAAAAACTATTCCAGCCCAATTTCAAAGGGTTAAGAAAAGCACCAGACCGAAGAAGAATTGTGTGAAATGGCTGACCATGTTGTAGGAGTGGGACCCAAGTTGAACGAGGCCTTTCGCTCAAATCTTTGTGGTTGTAGTAAAGATGGTAACGTCTTTGACCTCACTCCTGGAGTATTTGAAGAGTCTGAGACTGTAAAGCAAGTCAGCTCAAGCAATAGTCAACAATGTAGAGTCCTGATATTTGGTCGTGGAGATGTAGAAGACTTCAAATTAAAGGGATTTGATATCGCTGGGAAAGCGATTGCTGCGTTACAAGATACTCGTCTTGTGTTTGTTGGGGCACCGGATAGAAAACACGAAGAAATAGCAAATCGGTTAATCGAATGTGGTGTTCCTGCTAGTCGACTTATCTCAAGAAGTGGATCTTGTAGTCATGCCTTCGAGAACAGAGGGCTTTGGATTAACAGGACTCGAGGCAATGTCAGCTGGGTCTCCCTGTGCTCGTCAGTCGTAACTGGCATTGCGCAGTGCAGCTTTTGGTTCAACATAAACATTTGTAATTGAGTCAGAGGACCCCGCGGTGTGGACCGCAGCCATCCAGAATATCTGGTCTGAGGACAGGAAATGTCGACTTGAGGAAGCGGTGACTTTGCTTGATTCCTATGGCAGGAAATACAACTGGGCCAAACAGACAAAAGAGTTAGTTGACCAGATGATCAGCCTGGCTCATGGTAGGAATGTCAATTATTCTTCAGTGGCACATTATTAGGAAACAATAGTAATACAAACATAATCCCCGCAATAGCATGTTTTCTCCATTTTCGTTTAACGGAAGATTCTCTAAAGGCCCGGAGCTCCTTAGAAACAAAGTGCAACGCTTCTCAGAGGATGAAAGGCATGAGAGAGGACCATGAAGGTATCTTCGTAGACAGCACGCGTAGAAATCATTTCTGTCTATTTTCAACCAAGTGGGAGAAACGTGGGAGGCGCGCAAGAGCGAGCAAAAAATAGGGACGGGTAGAGAAATAAAACGGCGGCCGCTGAGCTTCTGTCCCAGGAATAGACAACCTAATATATTATGCCCAACAAATGTCCGCCCAGGAGAGGAATGGGCACACCTGGAATTGACTAAGCCTCAAGTCTCAAAGAGAATATAATTGTAACGAAAGCTTGTTTTTGCAGAGCCTTCTATAGAAATTGACAACAACCAAACAACAAAGTCTTATCACGACGAGCAGCTTGTTTCAGAAACGTCCCTTAGTAGTGATTGTGAAATGAATGCTGAAGCTGCATCAGGAAATCCGACTAAGATATCCACGAATACAGACTCTCAGTCTCATAATAGCCGTAAGCGTAAAATGTCAGAATTCTCTTGTAATCCAGGTATGCAAAAATATGAGTTGTTTCTCTTGCTATAGACCTTGTCACGGTTTTCGACGCCATCTTAACGAGTAGGCAAAAAACGTGGGAGAAATTACAGTGTTTTTATGAGAATCCAGTGTCGATTAAATTCCTTTAAACGGCTGTTCTGAAAAAAATTTCAATTGTAAACTTAAGCTACAAAGCAAAGGATTGTCCTAAAATTTTTTGGAGTGTACCTATGCTTAAATTTCTCCAGAGGCTTGCTTTAGATGTTCCATATATTTGTCCTACAGACAAACCATCCACAAGCATCTGTTAGAAGGCATTCCCTTCACAACTCAATAAATACAGTACCACAAGTGAAGAGTAAAACAATATGTTTTTCGTCTCTCACCCATATTTTCGACCGTGTTAAACGGTCGTGTTAAATGGTCGTGTTAAATGGTGTTAAATGGTTCTAGGTCTTCTTGCGCATGTAACGCCCTCAATTTTTTTTCAGTAGCATCCTCAGGAGTGAAGCTTTAGTTTACAATTCATATTTTTTTCAGAACAGCCGTTCTACGGAAATTATTCCACATTATATTCTCATACAAACACTGTCATTTCTCACGCGCTTGCCAACTTTTTTTAAACAGTTTTTATTGAATTTAAGACACGTTTTACAATGTTATTTGCCTACTCGTCAAGAGATGGCGTCGAAAACCGTGACAGGGTCTATTGCTCACAAATACACTACTATATTTAAAGGGGGGAAGTGATTGTTCGATTACTCAAAGGTGCTTTTTCCTACAGGACTTGTTACCGTTTACGCTCGTACTGTAGAAGTGTGTTATTGATAATACTAAAACTTATTCGTGCCGATATCAATAGTCTCTTGACAGTCGCCATTTTCATCAGCGGTTATAAAAAAAAGAATTTGAATAAATGATATGTGAATAATAATTAATATATAAAAAATTAAGATGTATCGAACACTTAAATCATATAAATTACTTTGGGTACTTAAACTGTGCAAACGGCATAAAACCTACTAAAAACGAGTAAAAAATTACATCAAATTACATGCATCGTAAGAGCTTTCTGGAATGAAATGTCTTGAGTGCCTTCTTAAAAATGACAACTGAGGGGCTTCTCCATATCGCAAAAAGAAACAAATTCCAAAGTTTGGGTGCAGCAAAAGCAAAAGAGCGATCTCCTATTGTGGTTTGAGTCCTGTCTCCACCATACCAGTAAAACGTATCTTAGTGGCAAATATTTTCAAAAGTATGTGCGAACAGGTTCTGCAATATCTTTCGTCGAATTGCTATAAATGTTAACGTTCTATTGATATTCAAGTATGCAGCTAATATTGTGAATCTGTGATAACGCCTTAACCAAGTTGCCTTGTGGGGGCTTGGATGAGGTTTTTAAACCTCTTTGCTATGGTTGAGGCTCCTGAGTAGACATCCAGTAATGAAGATTACCTTGACGAGAGCCGTCTCTTAAATACAGGTACTTCAAGTGAGGATAGCGGAATCATTTTTAAAGACGTTTATGCTCTCCAAGATAGGTAGTCATGAAGGTGCATCTTCTCTGGGGAAGGAAATTCACATAACAGTAAACATTATATTAACAACGTACAATTGTTTAAGTAGGGAAAGAAATAGGTGTTAATTTATTGTGCGTACTGAATCTTTTGTTATAGCTTAAAAAACGTGTAACTTTGCCGTTATTGATTTTCAGACTCTGTTCTTACTTCTGCCTTTATCGAAGTTATAGTTTCTTCAAATGCCCAAGATTTAACAGTTGAACAGCAAAGAACGATAACTAAAGAATTAGAGCAGTTGGTTCATAAGTACCGAAGACACCAAGATCTTTCGTCATTGCCATTTGATAGTAGTGTAGCCCGCCTTACTAAGTATATCGAAAAGGCTTATGAAGTGGCCGTAATGATGGTAAAAACAGGATCTTTGATAATAACTGTGCAGTGCCCTACTCCGGAGAGTCTTGAAAGTCTGTGGAATGGTTACTGTTCTGGTTACCTTAATGACGTTGTTGAGAGTTTCCTGGTGACTGATGAACTGAAGAGAAAACTGGAGTTGGACAATGTCAGGTTGAAGACAACTATAGAAGAAGAAAACTACTTAATTTGTAAGAAGGCGTTCATGGAAAACTCAGGTTAGTTGGAATGTCTCGATAGAGCCTGTTTTGGGGAACATGTATTTTGGCTTGTCAGATGTGCCAAAAACAATTGGATAGTAACTGGGTGAAATTGTTGGCTAGAACTTTTTTTACTCGCGGTTGTAGGTTTGATAGGGCAATAACCCAGCTAAATGTTACCGCCTTGGCTGTTTACAATAACAATTACGTAGGTACTGAGATTTTTTCTACCAGGCCCTTGGAATGTCGTGCACTACTTTACTAATAAATAAAGGAGGCATTCAGAGACTAATGGAGGTCAACAACGATCAGTACACCTCCCTAGTTGGAAGGATTAGGCTGCGTGCAAACGGACGCAACATTGTTGTCCACCAACTCCCAACATTGTTGGATGTTACATGTTGCGTCCGTTTGCACACCCTGTTGTATGTTCTTGGATGTTGTTGCGTGTTGTTGCGCAAAGTTTGAAACCGGTCAAACTTTTCAGCCGACAACTCCCAACATTTCTTTTGTTCCGTGATCGCCGAAGCGTACGGCAACACTGTTGGATCCATTTGCACAGCTCTTCCAACATTGTTTGGGCCACCCACGCTCATTACGCATGGTTTACAAAGACTTATGGGTTGTATCCTTCCCACGATGCACTGTAGGTCCCAACAATGTTGGGAGTTGTTGCATCCGTTTGCACACCACTGCCAACACGGACGCAACAACTCCCAACATTGTTGGCGCAACAATGTTGGGAGTTATTGCGTCCGTTTGCATGCAGCCTTAGGATTGCAGTGGAGGGAGCATCTTCTCAAAGTAATCGTCACTCGTGTTCTTGTTCCTGTTTCATCTGAGTCAGCTGCACAGCTTATGTGGCGTGCATAACGGCCTTTCTTCCCACAGCTACAGCACTTTAGAAAGTAGAAATTTAAATATAAAGAATGAATAGAAAGAGCCGTCTTGTTATTTATACCTGAGACAAATTGGAATTGCCATCTGCTTGCGATCGTGTATTAAACGATCAATAAAGCATTCCCCGAGGGTGTCCGCTTGAGTTCTACAGGCAGTTACAACTGGTATCTTGTTTTTGACATTTTTTTTTGCTAGGAGTAGCAAGTATCACCGAAACTTCATTTCAAACAGTTGATTTAGGTCAGGTAGAAGATACAAGGTGGAGTGAAGCGAGCTCAGATGTTGAGAAAGTAAGATTTTCTTTAGGAACTGGTGAAACGGGGAGATATTATTAGGCAGTTATGTAATTAGAATTATATGTGGGGTTTGCATCTTGTAATTTATGATAGTAAACTGAAGTGCAATTTTAGTTATTACTGATAAATAACAAATGGGAGAATACGAAGGGTCGCCAGTTAGTTTTTAATTGGCTGGGATTGTACCAAGCGAATACCAGAAGTGACACAATACAGTTTTTATTTATTTATTTGTATATTTATTTATCTATTGTCATCCCAGGACAAGATCAGGTCCGGACACCTATGGCCAGACTATTACGATACATAGTGTAGTGTGCGTTGTTGTGTAATCAAACAATGAAAACACAAGTGCGATGTTGTTAATGACTTGTAGATAAATAAAACTCAGCAGAGTGATACTGTGGGATCTGACGGGCTGCATTCAATGGCTATAATTTATTCATTCTTTCGTGAAACAGGAAAAGACGGGTCGCAAGATTCTCGTGCGCCCGCGTAATTCGCTTGCTCTTACTAGTTTATCTTGAGAGAGCCTGAAGGGAGCACTCCCAGTCAGTTTGAAGACTATTTCAACGTTTTCAAAATTAAGGCACAATCTGGCTATATCGAAAGGTTGTTGGCATATTTTTAACGCTGCCAAAGTTATGATGTCATGAGATAATAAGCTATGCAATTATTTTCGTTGTGTGCAGCGTAGTGTATATGCCACTCGCTACTGGTTTTTGTTTCATAAAAATTTCAAAAGCTATACCGTATACTCAATGGTACATCAAGTCACGTTCTACCAGCCAAATGAAACTAGTTTTTTATTACATCCTGCAGATCGTCCCGTTGCCGCGTCCCGATCGGAGACCTTCTGATTCTGGCTCAGAATCAACAACAGAGAGCGAGGAAGAAAGCGAGGTAAGTTTAGAACGTTTGGGAAGGTTGTGCTGTTGTAAACTATGCAACTGTTACCCTATGTCTGTTAAAAAGAGTGTGCTCCTAGATTCGCTCGTATTAAGTGGAACTATTATTATATCTTAAGTATCTCTAATGCCGTCACTGGAAACCTCTTGTCGGTAAAATTTGGTGACAATAATTTAACTCTTGCATAAGGAATAATTAATATGCTTTTGATAATTAAATTGTTTAAGGCCGCGATCTATTAATAAATTCATGAGGCAAAATTTTGCCTGTGCAACATCTTTTAAAACGCTTATATCTCGACTGTTTAGCAGTGATTTAGACAAAACTTTACACAGAAATTGTCGAATGATGGAAGTTTAGGGTGGTTGTTTTTCATTTGGTAGATCGCGCCTTACGGCAATACCTCAAGCTACAGTTGCACCAAATTGGGAAATCCTGCTTTTGTGTCCAAGTTTGTGGAAAGAATAGAAGATAGGACTCTGAGGCTGCGTGCAAACGGACGCAACATTGTTGACCAAGAACTCCCAGCATTGTTGGATGTTACATGTTGCGTCCGTTTGCCCACCCTGTTGCATGTTGTTGGATGTTGTTGCGTGTTGTTGCGCAAAGTTTGAAACGGGTCAAACTTTTCAGCCAATAACTCCCAACATTTCTTTTGTTCCGTGATCGCCGAAGAGTAGCGCAACAATGTTGAATCCGTTTGCACAGTTCTTCCAACATTGTTGGGGCAACGCACGCTCATTACGCATGCTTCACAAAGACTTATGGGTTGTATCCTTCCCACGATGCACTGCAGGTCCCAAACTTGTCTGGAGTTGTTGCATCCGTTTGCACACCACGGACGCAACAACTCCCAACATTGTTTGCGTAACACTGTTGAGAGTTGTTGCGTCCGTTTGCATGCATCCTGAGATTTTATTGATAAATGATCAGTCAAACCCTCTAGTGTGTCATGTATAGAGCTGATTTTACAATTTAAAGATTGCCAGCAAGTTATTATCGTTTAAATGAGCAAAATCTGTCATCCCTGAAATTACCACCGTTTTCGTTGATACGCGACTTTCGAAAACAAAACGCCCGCGGAAACGTTTCCAAAATTTCCGTCAATCATGCATGTTATCGACAGATCGGATCGAAATCTACCAATCACAACCACTAGTGTGACCTTCTGACCTTCTTTACGTCATGCTAGCGGGCTGTGATTGGTGGATTTTGATTCGATCTGTCGATAACATGCATGATTGACGGAAATTTTGGAAACCTTTCCGCGGGTGTTTTGTTTTCGAAAGTCGCGTATCAACGAAAACGGTGGTAACGCCTTATATCTCTTTATAAAGCGCTCTTTTCGAATTCCGCTCTATACATTTTTTTAAAATCATTATTGAATGACTGATTACAAACTACTTACACAACATGTACATTGCCACAACTATATCAATAAAGAACTACTGCAGATATATAAAAGACACTACCTACATATAATACTAATGCAATACAACACAATTTAGGTACCACTACTGCTATTATAAAAATAAGAACAAGATGTATTTTAATTCTCAGTACACGGCAGTATAACTGAAATCTTTCCCATTTACATTCCTAGTCGGCTAAGAATGTGTCATTTGATTTTATAAGTTTCTTTTCTAACTGGTGAACATAACTGACTTTATTTAAAACAAGACGCTATGGGAGCTCACACTTCGGCATCGTGGTTGTGCATTAATTGTGAATTCGGAGGAACAATAAGAAATCGGATATTTTTCCGGATACCCTTTCATACAAATACCCTTACTTTTCTCCTTTTGAGTAATAGACGTCTTAACTTCTTCACCGAAAGTCTGCTAGGTGCATGACCGCGTGGCTGTAACCCAATTCGATTATAATTACTGTCATAAATATCTCAGTTCCACTTCCTTTATTTCCTCTGCAACAACACTTTCCTTGTGTACAGTTAACTCCACACGTTCACCAGCAACGTAACTAACTAACATCAGTACACTCCCTTACAAAACTTGCTGAAAATGCACATTTTTCAGATCACGAGGACTCGAGGGCGAAGAAGGCGTCCCAGAGTTCTTCACAGTTCAACTGTTTCAGGATCAGTGAGAAAGAGAAAGGGAAAAAGAGGGGTGAGTCAAGACTGTTATTTATGCCATTGTTGCAAAGCGAATTTCGCTGAAGCTTAAGCAAAGTTTAGCCTAGTCACTAGTCACTTGGGAAAACTTATTGGAAACAGGCTTTTTTTCTTTGGAAAGATGATCGTAAGAATTACAGGGTGTTTGTATCATGCCCGGAGCAGCCATCAGTCCTTGAGAACATCCTCCTTTTACATTACAGCTATTTCGAAGGAAAAGGCCAGAGCATTTTGTGTTTCCTTTTCATTGATGTTATTTGTCTTATTGTTGTGTTCTAAAATTTCCTTTTAATTATAAATTGTTGCTGTTTTCGAACTGTTTTATGACAAGTTTGGAATTAAGGCTCCTTATGCGTTTCTGGGAAACCTCCCACGAAATTACAAAATGCTGCACTAAGACGTTGTCTTATTGAGATCACCTATTTTTACCACAATATCAAACATTATAACAACATTATACAAAATTAGGGCGAAGCATTTTCAACATTTTAAAACAATAGGATACTTTTCAGTTTGGAAGTAAGGTTGTTTTTACCTAGAAACGGAGCGATTTCTTCCTTTTATTGGTGATAAATCTCGTAGAAGTGATTGGAATTGACGGTCTGGCTACAGACGAGAATTTGAGCAATTTGGTTCACTCTTGCTCAGATGTCGAGAGCCAAAGGAGATGTCAGCACTTGACAAATGCTTTGGGGGGTATGCGTACTCTTGGAATTGACTGAGACATTATAATGACGATGCAACCGTCTCGCACAACAATGAAAACTGCAACTGCCTGCGAGCAAGCTCTCCATTTAAGGGATATCGAGGAAACTTACTCGGGAGTGGCACGCGGAAGGAGAAGCGGGAGAAGCAAGGTGCGGGGAAAAGAAGAGAGAGCTCACTCGCGCGTTCGCTTGCCACTCGAAATGGACAGGTTCCTACCAGGCAAAACATTTCTTGGTGGTCGTGCTCGTTCACTATTCGGTGAGCCAGCCAGTATACGTCAGGAATTCCGAGGGAAAATTGGAGCTATTTACATACTAAGAAACGTCCGTTATGGCTTTACCTCTAGTTTTTTACACATTTTAACCAACCCTTAACAATGACCGTAAATGGTCTAATAAAGCCCGGAAGTCTATTTAATTTTAGGGGTCCAAGCGGGGGCATTTAATGGATAGGAGGCGTTTATTCATTTATCTGTTACAAGCTCAACAAAACTGTTATGCTTTCAGCGAAGATATCAAGAGAGTTTAATAATAATCCACTCCATCAATTGATACATCTAGGCCATCTAAAGATCCCATATCTTTCTTTCAAATCCCAACATCGATGGCAGAATCCTTGCTCAGGGTTATTCTGGTGCCATGCTTAGTCTGTCCTTACTATGAACTTGACATTGAGCATTATGAAATACGCAAAGAATGATTTTGCTCTTTTTTGCTAATTTCTAGTATTTTGCATTAACCATGTTAACTTCTCATAGGGGGCGTTTATTAGACAGTTGTCGTTTTTTAGAGAGGGGCGTCTAACACAATTTTAACAGCATGGAGGGGGTGTTCATTAGATAAGAGGCGGATATCAACGTTGCGGCACTCACACGTCCCTGACACAAAGAATCCTCACGTACGCGTAATACAACGATGCCCAAGTGTACGTGGCCTACATAACAGGCGCGTTATGAGTCAAGTGAGGCGAACGCAGCATTTTGCGCGAGGCGCGAGACCAGGGGAAAAGAAAAACTTAGGCACCTGTAACCAGTCCATTGTTCTGGCGCTGCCGCCCACCTACGCCCACAAATATTGACTGACGTCGGTAATCTCAAAAGGATCAATCAAAACACGATCCATTACTCGAAAAATTGTCTCCTTTCTGGCTGTCAGAAACATCGACAGCAGCATAATCCGCAGGAAATAGGGTATGAATCACCTTCAATAATGTAAGACTTAGTGCGGCAAAAATAAGATTTGCTCAGTCAAAGTTTAGTTTATGTTTTAACACAGCAACGAGAAGGAAAAGAGGGAAAACCTATTGTTTAAACAAATTCCAAAATGATAGTTGTTTTTTTTTTTCAAAACACAATCTTTGTGGCATCAGTACGTTAAATGAAAATTTATAGTCGGAGTGGGTGCATTTTATTTCTTAACGAGAACATGCCATTGGAGAAAGCTAAAATTGCTGTAGCGGTGGTTTTTCACAGCCTTCATCAAAGCACCATTCATTTTTCACTCACGGAAGTGTTCTTAGTTTCATTACTGAATCATTAACTTAATGTGGGGAGAAAGGTGAGATTTTCTCCCAATATACGACATTCAACTCCACAAAACAGGCTGCAAATGTTGGTAGTGAAAGTAAACAATTCGCAAAAATGCCTGTGTGGGACATTTTAAGACCCTATGTTGATGCATGCGCAAACACATTACCCTCCTGTTGTTCCAGAATGCATAATCTTCTCGATAACACATTTCATGAAAGATTTCGACCGAAAAAATTTTCCATCCCTTACAGTGGCAATAAAAACAACACTGCAACTAAGAAACAAGCTGCCATTTCTTCTTTCATCTCGCGGATATTTATCTCACATTGTTTGGCGGGCATTTCGCCTTTTAGCCACGCGAGTTTTTGCTCTGCGCAGGGGCAGAAATTTGTCGCCTGTAAAGCACTGGGTAACATCAAGTCACGTTGTACCAACAAAACGCAATTAGTATCTGACACCCTTTTCACATGACCCCACGTCTGTTATGTTGGAGTTCAGCTCTTTTCCTATGCAATCGCTTCGTTTTGTTTCAGTATATTTGCATAACTGCAAGCCACGTTAGTAAAAGCGCTCTATTTACTACACACTGCAGATCGTCTGCTCGACGCTTTCTGAGCGAATTAATAATAATAATGATAATAATAATAATAACATATTTAACCAGGGTCAACCCGTCAGCGGAAGCTGTTATAAATGGGTGCCCTGGGCAACTAAGAAATAAACAGTTTAAGGAAAAAATGACTATAACTGCTAAACTATCAGAAAAATGTAAAAACCATGTACAATGTCGATGAATAAAAACTAAGAATTATTTAACTACGTAATTAAGACTCTAAAAAACTCCAAAATATTTACAGAGAAGAAGGTCTTTCAGCGCTCGCTACAGTTCAGCGGACTCTGGTTCAGAATCAATGTCAGAGATGGAGAGAGAAAGCAAGGTAAGCCAACAACTTTTTGGGAAGGTTGCACTAATGATATATTAGAAGAAATATATAACATTTTCGTCAGGTTAAAAGAAACTGTCCGTTAAATGTATATGGGTGTGCGTAGTATCTGTATTCTTAATTGGTTTTAATCTTGTATTTTTTCATAGCTTAGTATACTCATTTATTATTTTATTATTTATTATTTAGAGGGCCACAAGTTTATTAGCCCCGGCTATTTCGTGCTAACCCTCATAAAATAAAGTCTTTACTTACTTAGCTCAGTTGGAAGAGCGCCGGTCTACTGAGCGGGAGGTCGCGGGTTCAAACCCCGGCCGGACCAACACTCAGGGTCTTTAAATAACTGAGGAGAAAGTGCTGCCTTTGTAATAATATCTGCAAACAGCTAGACTTTCTAGTCTTCTCGGATAAGGACGATAAACCGTAGGCCCCGTCTCACAAGCCCTTGCACATGTATTAAATCTGTGGGACGTTAAAGAACCCACACACTCTTCGTAAAGAGTAGGGCACGTAGTGCCCGGTGTAGTGGCCTATCTCACTTTCACACTCATGTATGGGGGGATCATTACTCATTCCTTCACTACTTGTAAACTGCACCTTAAGCAGTCTGGCAAAGTCCCCCAACCAGTGTTGTAAATTATCCCTGAAAAGCCCTGAGGGGAGTGGATAATAAGATATTTACAATTACAATTTTTTTTTTATTTACTAATACGCAGGTGTCCGTAGAGCGGGTTTCCACTGTATTCGAATTTCCCTCGCTAATGTAAACATGTGGGTCAACTTCTTATTCATTACATATAGAACAAAGTGTTTACAATCTAAACCAAATTTCTCTCCTGTCTGGTATATAATCAAGTCTAGAATACGTTTGTTGTAACTTTTTTGTCTTTTTCCACTAAAGAAATGAGGCAAACTACAGCGAAATTTCCGTGCGCTCGAAATGTCAGTCGGGGATTCCATGACGTTATGCTCTTGATGCTATGCGCACCAGTGCACCCCATAGTCTACAACACTTGGAACCTCTATGCAATGATCTCGTTTAGCAAGCTGTAGCTTAGATTTGCTCCGCTTCGATTTGTATGGAGTATGAACCCTCTGGGCACCGGAAGAAGCCCTATTCGGAGTTTATTTCAGAACTTGTAGGTTGCCGCACTTGCGGATCCTCGAACTTATCAAAGTAGTAGAACCAGTGTAACAGAGACTCTTGACAGAAGCGAAAGCAGTTCCAATTAGCGATTCGAATAAGGGCGCTTTTTAACTTAGCCGTAAAGAATCAACTGTTTGACAAGTTTGGGTATCTGAAGTCTGCGGTGGTAAAACTGAAAATTTTAGATTGTCAGCTCACTCCAGCTGTATACCTACAACATGTAAGCAACAGATGTTTCGACTGTAAAATATTAGATAACATGAAGACGAGTCTGCCATCCAAATTTGTCCACACGCAGCTAGTGTTTGGCACTATTTTCACAAGGCGTCACGTCCGCTTTGTTGGTGTCCCACCACAATAAATCGGCGGCCATATTGTTTCAGTAAATTTGCATAGCTGCAGGCCACGTGAGTAAAAACGGTCTATTTATTACACCCTGCAGATCGTCCGTTCACCGCGTCCTGAGCGAAGAAAGTCTTTCAGAGCTCGCTACGGTTCAGCTGATTCTGGTTCAGAATCAATGTCAGAGATGGACGGAAAAATCAAGGTAAGGTAACACCTTTTTGGGACGGTTGCACCAGTAATACTCTTAACACAAACTCTTATGTTAAGTAATAGTCCTAATACTGTTAACACCAAATCGTTTAACTGAGAAACATCGCGACTTAATTTACCAATCAGGTCAATAACCAGAGTTTAATACCATCCTCTGACGTGATTCAACTCACTGAAGATGACTACCGCACAGTTTGTGGAAACGTCAGTCAGTGTCAACAACAACAGTCCCATTCAGGACTACGGTCACCTGTACGATCATACTCAACCTACTTACAAAGTCGTATGTTAAGTGATTGTCATATCCCATTAGAACTGTCCTATTTACTTGAAATCAAATCGGTACTGCTTCAAGCCGACTAATTTCCCTGCCAAAGAGGCACAGTCCATATTGAATTAAGGGAGGACTTCCGCTTAACTTGTCCCCCTTGTAGCCGCTTTTGTCTGGTCACGCAATGTTCACGAGACAAAAACGGCCGCGAGGGAGACTACTGCCTAGCCGTCTGGTGGAATTATGAAGTCGCAGGATAGTGGGACTCTCAAAAAGAAAGGAAGAAAAGGGGAAAAAAGAGAGTGAGAAGTTGTTTTAAGAGCGGATGTCTCCTAAGCTCTTTTTGTAATTTAAAAGGCTACTCTCACGAAAACAGCGATATAACCAAAATTCGTCGATAGACTTTCGTTGAAAAATTTCAGTGCTGCAATTGATCAATGTACTATAAAATTCCCGAATTTCTTGTCCATTGAAAACTTTTTAAGTTGTCTAACGTAGGTGCAAAGGTCAGCTTTATGCCTGAAACGGTACTCTAGAAACTACTTTTATAGTTTTTATCTGTTTGAGCTCAAACTTTGCAGGATTGTAGAATTTTGTATTCCAAACGATCGTATGTTTTTGTTTTTGTTTTTTTTGTTTTTCGATTTTAACGGCTTTTGGCGGGAAAATGCGCGATGAGGTCACGTGATTAACAGCAAAATTAAAATTTCAACTAATGATGTGAGAAATAAATAGCACGACGCGACAAAACCAACTGTTGAAAATTTTTTGAAAAGCTCATTTGGTTAAGCTTTTTCAAAGAGTTATATCACATTTTTCTATCTCGTCGTGCTCTTTAAAAAATTATGTATTTGTTACGACACTAGTTAAACTTAAAATTTTGCTGTCATTTATATGACGTCATTTTACAGCCAAAAACCGTTAAAATCGTCCTTTTATTACAGTAAATCTGCATAGCTACAGGCCACGTGAGTAAAAACGCTCTATTTATTACACCCACCAGATCGTCCGTTCGCCGCGTCCTGAGCGAAGAAGGTCTTTTATGGCTCGTTCCAGTTTGGCTGATTTTGGTTCAGAATCAACGTCAGAGGAAGAAAGCGAGGTAGGTCAACAACGTTTTGGGAGGGTTGCATTGTACAGTAAATTGTTATTTTGTTATACCTTTAGCACAAAATCATATACGTAAATGACCGGGGGGGGGGGGTACTGCTATAGATGGGCCATATAGGTATGTGCCGCTGTGAAGGGTATGGTTTCAAGCAGTTTGTCTAGGATAGGGTATATAAATCAGAACATTTGGGTCTAGAATAGGGTATCATTTCTCAGGAGACTGATCAGTTGGCTGAAGATTTTATCTAGACTAGGGAAACAGCTACTCTAGGATAGGGGGGACTTGGGAAGTTTACTCTAGTATAGGGTAGCAAAATTTAGCTGAACTAGCTCTGTTATAGGTTAAGGGTTCCAGGGTCCCAGCCGCACATCCCCACCCAGAAATTCCTAAAGTACCGCCCCTGGGTAAATGATTGTAATATAGCATTTGAACTGTCTTTTAACTTCATATTATACTGCCACTGTCGTTACTTCAAGGCTACTAATTTCTATGCCAAAGAGACGCAGTCCATATTGAAATATGGCAGGACTTTTGCCTTGCCGTCTAGCGGAATTATGAAATCGCAGGATAGTGGGTTTCTCAAAAAAACGCCAGGTCAGCTTTACGCCTGAAATTGTACTCTAATGAACTACTTTTAAGGTTTGTATCTGTTTTAGCTCGAACTTTGTAGGATTGTAGAACTTTGTATTCCAAACAATCGTATGTTTTTGTTTTTGTTTTTCAAATTTTAACGGTTTTTGGCGGGAAAATGAAGTCACATGATTGACGGCAAAATTAAAATTTCAACTAACGATGTGAAAAATAAATAATTTTTAAAGAGCACGATGCTACAAAACCAATTTTTTAAAATTTTTTTGGAAAAGCTTAATTGGTTAAGGAGTTATTTAGCTTTAATTCTTGAATTTCCCGCCATTTTGTTACTATTTTAAGAAACATAAGCACATTTCAAGATTCTATATATGCTAAAGCAATTGATCGTTTAAAAGAATTAGATCGCATTTTTCTATCTCGCCGTGCTTTTTAAAAATTGTCTATTTGTTGCGACAATAGTTAAACTTAAAATTTTGCTGTCAATCATATGACGTCGTTTTACTTCCGAAACCGTTAAAATCGAAAAACAAAAAATACCCGATTGTTTGGAATACAAAATTCTACCATCCTGCAAACGTTAGGCTCAAAGGGATAAAAACTGCAAAAGTAGTTCCTATATTGCAGTTTCAGGAGTAAAGCTGACCCGGCGTGAAAAAAAACCGGTTTTTGTTTTCCATTTGCATCGGTTTTTCTTTGCTGATAAGAAAATATGGCTACACCGACTGAAAGCATTTTGACTTTTTAATTAATTATAATAAGTTTTTAAATTAATTATTGTTAGTTTAAAATAATTTTTCTAAGGATATGAAGGCTCCTGCCAAAGAGTACCCATTGTTGAAGTGGGTCCCCACCTTAAGCATTCTTATTGTTTATTGATTTGGATGTTTAACGGGTCGTGTGTGAGAACAAGAGACACTCTCTTAATGGATGGGTCACTCTGTTAGGTACAATTTCAAATTTTGTGCGTATCTTCTTGAATCTATTTGGTCAATTCTTATTCTAGAGCACGGCCTAACATTTCAATCAAGAGTTTGTTCCCAAAACTATTTTCATTCCAATTAAGATAATGAGTGTAATAAATAAACAAATAAATGAATGAATAAGTGGAGATGCCTGCAGTCAGTTTACCCAATCTGTGTCTCCGGTGGAAGCAAATATATTTTCCCCGATTCTTAGACTTGCTGACATCGTCAGTTTTATGTCATATCCTGCCTAGCCGCATGAAATTGAGGCGCTTACTTATTGTGTGGCCTCTTATGAGCTGCATTCAATGGCTATATTCATATTTTTTCGTTAACCCATTCGCCCCTGAACCGCCC